ATATGTGTGTGTGTGGTGATGGTGATGGTGGTGGTGGGGGGGTATGTATTAGAGGTAGTTTTAGCTTTATTTCCAATTTCTATACAGCATATTTATCTCCTCAAATTTTATATATATAAAAAACTAAATACTATTTCTTTTATTTATAAAATGTTTCTTCCTGAGTTTGTTTCCTTGCAGCTGTGAGGTTACAGTATATTGCAACAATAGAATAAAGACCCACTACAACTGGATGACTAATACAAGTTCAAGCATTAGTCATTAGCACAGACTACAATGATAAGACATGAGCAGATGAGTGTGGCGGCACCACGTACCCTGGATGGCAACAGCTGTGTTTATTATGTCATTCAGAAGTGGCTCATTTTTACATGTTAGAAACATTTACTTCTTCGGGTTAGAGACATTAGGAGGGTGAAGCTGCAAACAAGTTTGCCAGGCTGAAGGAGAAAACATTAAAACCTGTCAAAATCATTCAAATAAACCTACTTTGAAAATTTATTTTTATATACAGTATATGTAGACTTTTAGTTGATGTTTCTCAGTACACAAAGATGGGTTGTGTTAGGCATTGGTAAGTTGTTTTTTTAAATTTTATTTAGTATTTGACAATAAAAGTAAACTGCTTTCATTTCAAAAAGCAATCATTGGGTTGACATCTGTGGGGGGTGCTCCATGAGTATGGGATTGATGGCTTTTGTTACGGACTGTTCGGTCCCTATACAAGCGGTGTGAGAGTTTGGTTTGCATTGCTGGTAAGTCAGACCCCTTCAGCGTGGGAGCTGGACTCAGCCAGAGCTGCCCGTTGTCACCGATTCGGTTCATAGTTTTCATGGACAGAATTTCTCGGTGCAGCCAGGGGTCAGAGGGATTCCATTTTGGTGGCCTCAGGATTCCATCACTGCTCTTTGCAGATGATGTGGTCCTGTTGGCATCATCTTCCATGATCTTCAGCTCTCACTGGAGCAGTTCGCAGCCGAGTGTGAAGTGGCTAGGATGAGAATCAGCACCTCCAAATTTGAGGCCATGGTCCTCAACCGGAAAAGAGTGGATTGCTCTCTTCAGGTCGAGGATTAGGTTCTGCCTCAAGTGGAGGAGTTCTAGTATCTCTGGGTTTTGTTCATGAGTGAGGGAAGAACAGAGCATGAGATTGACAGATGGATTGGTGTAGCGTCTGCAGTATTGCGGTCTCTGTACCGGACCATTGTGGTGAAGAGAGAGCTGTAAGGCAAAACTCTCTGTTTGCCGGTCAGTCTTTGTTCCTACCCTCACCTATGGTCACGAGCTCTGGGTAGTGACTGAAAGAATGAGATTGTGGATACAGGCGGTTGAATTGAGTTTCCTCCGCAGGGTAGCTGGACTCTCCCTTAGAGATATTGTGAGAAGTTCAGTTATCCGGGAGAGACTCGGAGTAAAACCGCTGCTCCTCCACATTGAGAGGAACCGTTGACATGGTTCGTGCATCTGGTAAGGATGCTCCCTGGGTGCCTCCATGCTTCGGGCATGTCCAACAGGTAGGAGACCCTGGGGAACACCCAAGACACCCTGGAGAGCCAGTGTCTCTCGGTTGGCCTGGGAATGCCTTGGAATCCTCCTAGAAGTGATGTCTGGGCCTCCGTGCTCAAGCTGCTGTACCCATGACTCGACTTCGGAAGAAGCGGAAGATAATGGATGGATGGGTTGACCTCTACAACTGTACTTTGAGGGCAACACATCGCATGATGTCTTTGCCTAAAACATTTGCATTAACTGTAGCTCTGTGTTTATCTTTGCAAAATATAGTTGAATATCAAAAACCACTGGAAAGGTTTTAGTGAAACTCTCAAAATGTTATTACATCTACAACTGATTAAGTTCTGGAGTCATTTCAGTTCAAGTAAGCCTCCACAGCTGAATGACATTAGCCTACACAAAATGGTTAATCGTCAGTGTACATTACAGCTGGCTTAGCATTAGTATGGTAGTCACTGAGAGTCATTTACAAGATAACTGGCTGTGATTATCATACCCACCACTGCACCCTGTATTCGCTGGTTGGCTGGACATTGTTAACTTCAAGCAGACTCTTCCACTGGTATATATTCATCTTTAAATCACTTCTTGGTCTGCTGCCTTCATACATCTCCTCTTACATGTCTCTGTGTGAGTGCAGCTACAGCGTGCACTCTCAGGACATTATTACCTGCAGTGTTCCCTCAGTGCAGACTGAACTTGGCAAAAGGGCCTTCTCCTACTCCGCTCATGTTTCCTGGAATATCTTGCAAAAAGATCTGAAGCTCTCAATGTTGACCTCTCTAAGTGGCTTTAAGAATCTGTTGAACCCCTGGCAAGGACCAATGCAGACATGTTCCTGTTTTTAGTTTTCTACATTCGCCATACGATCTAGCTGTTTATTGCTAGTTTTGCCATCTTATTTTAATTTGTTAAAAAAAATCTGTATGCCTCTGTTATGATTGTCAATTGTTGTCATCATTCTTTCTTGAAATCAGGTCTCTCTTGTAAATGAGTCCTAGAGACTCACTGGGATTAACCTGTCTAAATAAAAGTTGAATGAATGAAAATATTCCCAAGATGCAAATAGATCGTGCAAGATCATGTGATACATCACAACATGACATGCTCTATGATGGTTATAAACAATGTTTGACCAAAATGTTTACAGCATGTTCATTTCTCATCGTGGAAACTCTGGCATAAAAAAAAAACGTTGGAAGCTATTCCATCAGATTATGTAATGCACGACTAGAAAACATTATTTATCAAATATCATTTGTCATCACAATCAGTTTTAGATTACAAGTTTCTCAAGATTGTGATTTAACAGTCTGTTCTGATGTTTTGCAATGCCTAAAGTCATCATTTGTAATGTCTAATTAGCCATATGAGGGATATAGTGAGCTGTTTGATCCAGTTGTCTTGTTATTTTGAGGTTCAGTTGTGTGCACGCTCAGTTTCAACCACAACATGAGCTTTGGAATCCATGTTGAATGCCTGCAGAGAATATGATTTCATTTTGGTACCTGGAAACCGTCACACATGACTGCACTACTTTCACAGAAATGCCACACTACCCTCCTCTCCACATGTCTAATTCATCATCCACTTGCAACAGCCTTGGTCTAATTACATTTACCTGCTGGAGAAAATCACATTTGGGAAAGTCACTGCATATATTCTCAATCAATCATTTTGACTTTGTTGAGATGCAAACTCATTGCATACAGAAAAATTTACATTTTAGGTTATCTTAACAACTATTAGAATATCAAATTTCTTTTAAAAAATGTTCCAAAATATAGAACCGGAGCACCAAAGCAGCCTGTGCTTTCACAGGATTATACAACAGGTTGACGGCTGAAAAACGTGCACATGAGTGGGACTTTAAGTAATTAATTTGTACCACAATCATAAAATATTATGTTTAAGAGCACATACTGTTGCAGGTACATTAATTTAGATGTTCAGAATGATTTATGTCTCTTACAGTTTGAAATACAACCAATCATATATTTTTTTCACTATAGGAAGTGACATCACATGTTGACAGCACTGTTTCAGGCACGCCCCCTGAAAATAAGGAGAGGGGAGAGAGCATGAGATAAACTGTGGTAGATTCAGCGGCAGACATTGGATTGGCATGGCTGTGTGCAGCTCAGCACTGAAACCTACATCCACAAGGGTCCTGCCTGGACATTTGGATTCTCTCTCAAACAGCCTTAAAATGAAGCTGTGGAACACTAAGCTTTGCTCTTTTCTACAGCATGTTTTTGTGCACTGGAAGATAGAGAGGGAAAACTAAGGGGGGTGGGGGCAACATCACCACACACTTGAGCTATGCTTCGTGAGCTTCTCTCTTTCTTTTCAGACCGTCTGGCTTTTTTGCACAAAGATCTCCGACTAATGGATCGATGCAGCAATGCAACTTATTGCTTGTCATGCTTGAATCATATTTTCATATATCCTTTTTTGTCAGAGCCCTCATTGTCTTTGTCTGTCACCGCTGTCAGACGAACTGTGAGGTAGTGTGGCGAACACATCGTTCTCCTCAACCCCCCTCTCCCTTGTCTGTGTCCCCGACTTCTCTTCATCCCCGGCTCATTCGTGTTTGTTCACCTCTTCTAAGCTACACTCAGCTCTGTGTTTGGCTCAGTTTATTTCACTGCTTACTATCTTCCTCTCATTGCTCATTTAAAAACAAACTGCTATTCTATCGCAGCAGCGTGCTACTTGATCTCTTAGAAAACAGTTTTCGCTGCTATTCAGCCATCTCATAATTCTTTAATGCGGTCAGGTATCCCTGTTCATAACGCCAGGATGCTTATTGAGGAGGACTGATCCCCTTCTCCCCAATTACTCATCCCTTTCCCTCCCTTGCCCTCTGACCTTCACCTTTTTGTCCTCAAGCCCCACCCACCTTCTCCCTTTTGTCGTTAACCTAAGCCTGTTCTCCCCTAACTTCTTTCACCCTCTTGACCATGTTGCCATGTGTCTGCTGGCTTCAACCTATCCTCATCTTGCTGTCCTCTGTTTTTTGGACCCTGGGGGAAAACTGCCCAACGACTTGCCAGTGCCCAGATCCTCACACTGTGGACTGCAGCGGCCGTGGGTTGACACGTCTTCCTGAGGAGATTCCCTTGGATGTTCGAAGGCTTCTGCTAGCTGACAATTGGATACCCCGCATCCCCTCAGATTTTCTGGTTCTGTACAGTGACTTGGTCTACTTGGACCTCCGGAACAACACCCTGTCCTACATAGAACCTGGGACCCTGAGCACCTCTTCAAGACTGGTCTTCCTTGACCTGGGTAGCAACAATTTGACTGAAATCCCCAAGGGGACTTTTGGGGAAACACGCAGCTTGATCAAACTAAAACTGGGTAACAATCCATATTTGAGCATGGTGAATGAAGATGCTTTCCTGGGCCTCACTTCTTTGCGAGAACTTGAATTGGAACGTAATGCACTCTCTACCCTAAAAGTGGGGGCTTTAAATCAGTTGCCCTCCTTACGTGTGGTGAGACTAGAGGGCAACCCCTGGGTATGCAATTGCAACTTTGCCAGCCTGTTTGAATGGCTAATCGAGAACAGTCACAAGCTTCCAAATGGTAAGTAATCACATTGTAAAATAGTTTTCTGTTTGCTGTGCATGACCCAGATGAAGGTATTTGAGTGCAATGTTCAGCAGTATTATGGTAAATCCACTGCCATAACACTCCTCTGCTCTATTTATGTTTTCCCTGTAGGAGAGGAAACCCCCCTCCCTGTCCCTGGTTCTAAATTTGTCTCTTTCTTCCTCCACCCGCACAGTTTATAACGTGCGAGACTTGGTGTGTAATATGAGACAATAACACTTGTTTGAATGTGACACTCATAAAACAAGAGTTAGTTTCTAAACATGCCAACAAACTGTGCTGTTATGCACGATGTAAAGAAACATGTTACAAATTAACTTACATATATTAAAGTTAATTTTTGTAGATAAACCAAACACTGACCTGTGCTCCTAATTCAAAAGACTAATCAGGTTTTTCAGTATGGTGGATATTTCTAAAATACTTCCTTTAGTAAATGCAGCATTTATGCTACAATCTTTTTTCTACACCTTTGAGAATAAATACAGACAATGCCTTTGTGTGTATATTTCTTTTGTCCAGTTAAAACATTTATGCCCACCAAATCCAACACCACCTTTCAGCCAGAAGGGTTAGGTTATGTAACAGGATGGACATTCTAGTGATTTTGCAAAGCACACTCAGCGCATGTTTTTAGTGAACTAAGAAGATAATTGGAGAAGTATGCATAATGAGATTAGTTTGTCAGTCAAAAACTACAATTCAAATTTTTGTACATCATCTTAATTATCTACAAAAATCTTGTCTGTAGCCATTTATTTCTAGATCCGTTTTTATCTTGTGCTCGGTGAGGCCCACGTATGTTCTGCTAAAAGCAAATCAAATGTAAAACAGCACTGATGTCCATGCGGATGTATCAGACAACGGTTATCTCATGAGTGCAGGCTAGGATGTGGGAGCAGAGAAGCAAGAATAAACAGATCTGACAGCTGAGCCACACATGACTCGAGACACGTGCTGTTGTCGTTTTTTTTACTTCAGACTGTAGATATCCAACAAAAACATGGATTGGGTGTTTCTGTGAGAATCCTGAATTTGGCTCACAGATGGGATTTCCAAAGACAACACAGTTTATTAAAAACTGACAATTCTGTTCAGATCTTGGGCTGCCAAATACTAGTTTGTACAAACAGTGATCAGTTTTGGTTACCAGTGGCACAGATAATCTAACTCAAGGTGTTGTGCAATGTGCTATGTGAGCATTTTAGATGCTGGAAATTATTATATGTATAACATGTAGAGAGGATCATAAATAAATAAATGCAAAGTTTGTGTCCAGTCCAATCCTCAGTGGCAGCCTTTGTCTTTTTCTTTCTTATAACTACAATTGCATATAATTGATGATTGTGGAAAAACAAACAAACAAACAAAAAACTTCCATTTATCTTTTACCATAATTGGTTAGGAAATGTTTGGTTGTTGAAAACTGCTGACTACTCACATAATCAAACCTCCTATGAAGATTTAGGCGATGGCTTTCTTTAACATTGATTCTGGCCTCTTTTTCCTTTCATATAGTTTGTCCGCCATCAATACATTTTATAAACTGGCACAAATCTTCAGTTCCCCAGGCGAAAGGTTGCAAATGCATTAGTCACAGGTTGTAAGTGTTGTCAGCTCTAAGAATAATGAATTGCATTAGCAAGGCTGGCAAAGCAGAAGTTAACAGTAAAAATTAAGTTAAAGGTCTGCTCGAGCAGTTCTCATGGCTGCCAAACGGCACTAAACACATTCACAAAATGACTTTCTAATGAAACTTATTTCCTTATCAGTTAGTGCTTATTTTGTGGCTATGAAATCAAACCAACATATAAAGGGAGGGAAATGGAGCACTAAATATAAGAGAGAAAAGAATGTACTTACTTACTGTAATGCTAAATTTGTTTTATCGACTTTTGGGGGTGTTTGAAACTTTCTAATTTTTACTTTGCAGTGTGAATAAGACTATAAGACTAAACTTTATTTCTTCATAGTTAAATGTCCGACAAATGAAATGCTGTTGATTCTTCTTCTTCTTTCAGCTTTTCCCTCTTCAGGGGCCACCACGAGTCATCATCCTCCATCTCACTATGTCCTCTGCATCTTCTGTCCTCACTCCAACTACCTCCATGTCCTCTCTAGCTGCATCCACATATCTCCACTTTGGGGTTTTCCTCTTAATCTTTTTTCTGGCAGCTGCATTTCTAACATCCTTCTACCAATATACCCATTGTCCCTCCTCTGGACATGTCTAAACAATCTCAGTCTGGCCTCTCTAACTTTATCTCCCAGTCCTTCAACCTGTGCTTTACCTCTGATGATCTCATTCCTAATGTTATCCATCCTAGTCTCTCCTAATGAGAACTTCATCTTCATTTCCGCCACTTCCAGTTCTTTTGCCTGTCTTTTTTTCAGTACCGCTGTCTCCAGACCATACAACATAGCTGGTCTCACCAGCCACCCCACTCACCCCATCCCATCCCACCCCACTCACTCTCTCCACCCCACCAGCTGTGGGGTAGCTGTGGATGAGTGGTTAGAGCGGTTGTCCTCCAATGCAAGAGTTGGGGGTTCGATTCCACCATGCCAAAGTGTCCCTGGGCAAGACCCTGAACCCCTCATTGCCTCCAATGTGTGTCCCATCGGTGTATTAATGTGATGAAGCACTGATTATTCTTGGTTCAAAAACAGTATAGTTCTATATGAATGGGTAAATGAGGGCACAGATTGTAGTGTAAAGCACCATGAATATTTTGATAAGACAGAATGGTGCAATATAAGTACAGTCCATTTACCAGACATGCAAACTTTTCCTTTCACCTTTGCAGATACCCTTTTGCAAATCACTCCTAACACTTTTCTCCATCCACACCATCCTTCCTGGACTTTCTTTTTTACCTCTTTACCGCATTCCCTGTTTTCCTGGACAGTGGACCCCAAGTACTTGAAGTCCTGCACCTTTGTGACCTCTGTTCCTTGTAGCCTCACTGTTCCACCGGTCTCCCTGTCATTCACACACATGTACTCTGTCTTATTACGGCTGACTTTAATTCTTCTACTTTCAAGTGCATACCTCCACCTCTCCAAGTTCTCTTCTACCCGTTTCCTGCCCTCGCTCCAGATCACATCATCTGCAAACATCAAAGTCCATGGGAATTCCTGCAGAATTCTCAGTTCATCACCAGAGCAAACAAGAAGGGGCTCAGAGCAGACCCTTGATCAATCCCACCTCCACCTTGAAGCTATCTGTCACTCCTACAGCACATCTCACCACTGTCCTGCTGTCCTCATACATGTCCTCTATCAGTCTAACATACTTCTCTGCCACTCCAGATTTTCTCATGCAATACCACACCTCCTCCCTCGGCACCCTGTCATATGCTTTTTCTAAATCCACAAAGACACAACGGCGTTCTTTCTGACCCTCTCTGTACTTGTCCATCAGCATCCTCAAAGCAAAGATGGCACTTGTGGTGCTCATTAATGGCATGAAACCATACTGATGCTCACAAATAGTCACCTCTCATCTAAGTCTAGCTTCCTCAACTATCTCCCAGATCTTCATTGTTTGACTCATCAACTTAATTCCCCTGTAGTTGCTACAACTCTGTACATTACCCTTGTTCTTAAAAATTGGGCATCGGCACACTTCTTCTCCATTCCTTAGGCATTTTCTCACACTCATATATGTCATTGAATATTTGAATCAAAAACATCACTGCCATCTCTCCAAGACATTTCCAAACCTCCACTGGTATGTCATCAGGTCCCACTGCCTCCCCCTTCTTCATTATTTTCAAAGCTTTCTGGACTTCACCCTCACTTATCTTTCCCACTTCCAGGTCCACTGATTCTATGACCTCTACTCTTCTTTCTCTTTCATTCTCTTCATTCATTAGCTCCTCAAAGTACTCTTTCCATCTTCCCATCAAACACTCCTCACTTGTTAGAACATTACCATTTCTATCTTTAACAAGCCTAACCTGCTGCACATCCTTTCCAGCCTGATCCCTCTGTCTCACCAGTCGCCAATCGGTACAAGTCCATCTCACCCTATTTAGTGTCCAGCCTCTCTTACAACTCCTCATATGCCTTCTGCTTTGCCTTTGCTCCCTCCTGCTTTGTGTTACGTTCTATCTCCTTATATTATTGTCCCCTTTCTTCAGTCTTCCCACATTTATATTTCCTCTTGACCAACGTCTTTCTCTGAAAAGAGGAACTAATGTTTTACTATGAAACTACTAAAAGGAGCTATTATATCAGAATTGATTGCAAGTGTTTGTATTATAAAATTATAAAAATGCTTTAAAAGTTAATTTATTTCCATTAGAAGTGGTTTACCCCTAGTTTCAAAATAAATTTAAAAAAAGGCGTGTAAATTCTTAGTCTCACTGGGAGAAAGACATGATGTATCAGACAGGCTTACAGTGAGATGGTTCTGCAAACATGGCTGGGTCACAAATGCAGGCACTACACTGCCAGACCTAATTAACGTAATGACTAAGCTCAATTGCAGGAAAAAAAAAAAATAAATCCAATGACCTATTCTCAGAAATACTGTATTAAAAGTGGTTACGCAATAACAGATGGACATTCATTAGTAAATGAGCTTGACTTGATGAGCTTCCCAATTTGTGTCTACTCTAAACAACCATCATAAGCGTGGGTGTTTCAACTTAAAATCTCGTTGCTGAGTAAATAAATTATGTCCATTCTAGCGTTGCTTTTCTGTAATTTATTATTTATTTATTCATTTATCATTGTTGCTCCTGCAACATTTTGCCAAAATTAAGAAAAACAAACCTAATATATATTCTGTATGTGTTTTTAAAAGTTTAGAAAAAAGGAAAAGCTCAAACATTTCTAGCTTCCACAACAAGTCATTGTTTCTTATCCACACTGCATAATAATCCCAATGTAACAAGCAAAATGTCACAATAAGCACTCCGCTCGCTGTCAACTGGCTTCTGAAAGTGTTAAAAGTTATGTTTTAT